GAAATAAAGTTGATTCCATAGAGATTCGAGTTCCAGTTTTTAGTATTTCGCTTAGATTGCAATAGGAGATAAGCATAAAAATGGCAAAATCCTATTGCATTCTCCATTGAATACTGGGTTATTGATGTGTTAAAATTGTATAGCATTGGATAATATATTGTGAGGATCTGGATTCGATCAATCGTGTGTGATTATATAAAATAGATTTAGATGAAGATTACTTTTTTTTTTGAATCAGATTTTCTGTTATTGTTACAACGAAAATGTCAAATACTTATTGGCAAAAATGTTATCTTTCAAAGGTTCAAAATACTGTCACGGTTCTGGGGTGCAATTTTTCTGAGTGCCTTTTTTCATAGATTTCAGCTTCAAATCTGAGAATAATTTAGTGTATGGAGTTTGGGAGATCTCAAATGTCCATTAGGACACTAAATCTCAACAAAAAAAAAAAATTGAAATTTCATCGTTTTAGTAAGAAGGTACCTTATGATTTAAATTTTGGAAAATTTTAAAAGCTCATAACTTTTTTTCTATTATATAAAAAAAGCTGAAACTTTCACTGAATTTTATCCCAATGAAGGGACTATAACCCCTGAAAATATCAACTCATTTGGACTTATAGTTCCTGAGATAAAATCGTGTTAAGCAATCTGGGGTGATTTATCAATTTTTCAATTTTTCTGAGTCAGTGGCGTAACTTCAGATTTTGGACCTGGGGGCAGAGTGGTTTGGCGAGGCCCAGTTACAATATTGCAGTGGTGTATGCAATATTCTGTTTGTCTAAGGGCCAAATTATGGACCAACTGACCGACCAATGGGATTACAGATTGCGTTTCTATCCGTCTGATTGCATACCTGACAGTTTATCCAGAAGGAACCCACTCTAACTTATAAGATCCCGAAATACAGAGCTGTCGTTTGGAGATAAAATGTATGCCATTCGGCCCAGAAGGTCTATTTGGGCATCGCTTGATTGTTGTTTTTTTTTCTTCGATACCGTGGGAAAATCTCTAGATTGGCGGCGCCTTTGATCTGAAATTACGTGGATTTGACCCGGGCCAACCGGTTAACCGTGAAACATGATACTCCTGTTTGTTCCCACATTAAACGTCGACAGCGTGCTGATTCACGAATATTTCTTATTTACAACTACGGCATCCTGTAAAAGGACACAACGAACTTCACACTATGTACGATAGATGGCGCCACCGATAACATCATGACGTCGAAAAATTTGAAATTTCAGATCAAAGGCGCCGCCGATCTAGAGATTTTCTCACGGTATCGAAAAATTTCTCAGGCTCAGGTGTTCCCGTTACTACTCCCATTTTTTGTCCTAATGACATAAATAGCTACTATCATCCCCTATCACTAATTTCACCTCTGACGTCCAGAAATTCGAAACACTAGAAAGATATTTTTGGCCCTGAAAAAGGAACTTTTAGATTAAAAAAAGTTATTTTTTAGCGTGGCTACTAAAAAAAGTTTCGCCTCCTGCTCCAACTAGGGTTACCACCTTGGACTTTCTTCAAACAAATTGTGGCAGTCCTGTCATATCATTGCTTGTTTGCTAGCGTAAGCTTTGAAGTCAAATGTTTTTGGGAGTGGCACCCGAATAAATCCGCGGTTTTTCGGCGAGCTTCCTTTAAGCCTAGTTCTCATGGAGCGGAAAATCGCGTTGCGGGTGCGGAATATCGCGCTCCATAACTTGCCGGTTCACAAGAAGCGAAATTCCGCAAGCGGATTTTTAAGTATACTTAGGGTATTTCACATGATATTTTAGTGATTTTTATCAAATATCGTACCACACATCTCACAGGTGACAGTAAAAAGTGACGGAGAATAAAAATTCGCGCAACTTTTTTGCGATATCGCAATAAGTTGACATTTCACCGCTGAGGGACAAATTTTAAATTTTCCGCTGCATGAAAACTAGGCTTTGGTATACAATTTTCCTGCTTTCTACGGCTCAAAGGGCTAGTAGGCTTGAGAAATCCAGGGTCGGTCTGACCTACCCCATCCGCTCCTGTGCAACATGAATTTTCCGTAATTGATATTTGGTATTTGAAATACTATTCACCAGTATTTGTGACAGCTCTGCCCGGAAATAATTATTTTGCGGAAACCGCCTACCATCTGCATGAGACCTCGGATGGGGCCCAAGAGCTTCTGCCCCCTCGGTAGTTACGCCACTGTTCTGAGTGCCTTTTTCCATAGATTTCGGCTTCAAGTCTGAGAATAATTTAGTGTATGGAGTTTGGGAGATCTCAAAAGACCATTAGGACACAAAATCACAACAAAAAAAAATTGAAATTTCATCGTTTTAGTAAGAAGGTAGCTACCTTATGATTTAGATTTTGGAAAAGTTTGAAAGGTCATAACTTTTTTTCTATTATAGATAGAAAGCTGAAACTTTCACTGAATTTTATCCCAATGAAGGGACCACAATCCCTGGCAATCTCAACTCATTTGGCCTTATACTTCCTGAGATAAAATCGTGTTAAGTAATCTGGGGTGATTTATCAATTTTTTAATTTTTCTGAGTGCCATTTTTCATAGATTTCAGATTCAAATCTGAGAATAATTTAGTGTATGGAGTTCGGGGGATCCTAAATGACCATTATAGGACACAAAATCTTAACAAAAAAAAAATGAAATTTCATCGTTTTAGTATGAAGGTAGCTACCTTATGATTTAGATTTTGGAAAACTTTGAAAGGTCATAACTTTTTTTCTATAATAGATAGAAAGCTGAAACTTTCACTGAATTTTATCCCAATGAAGGGACTATAATCCCTGAAAATTTCAGCTCATTTGCACTTATAGTTCCTGAGATAAAATCGTGTTAAGCAATCTGGGGTGATTTATCAATTTTTCAATTTTGCTGAGTGCCTTTTTTCATAGATTTCGGCTTCAAATCTGAGAATAACTAAGTGTATGGAGTTTGAGGGATCTCAAATGACCATTAAGACAAAATCTCAACAAAAAAAAAATTGAAATTTCATCGTTTTAGTAAGAAGGTACCTACCTTATGATTTAGATTTTGGAAAGCTGAAACTTTCACTGAATTTTATCCCAATGAAGGGGACTACAATCCCTGAAAATCAACTCATTTGGACTTATAGTTCCTAAGATAAAATCATGTTAAGCAATCTGGGGTGGTTTTTTCAATTTTTCAATATTTCTGAGTGCCTTTTTTCATAGGTTTCTAGGGCTGAAATTTAACAAGAGTATGAAAATTATATTTTCAAGTCTTCTAAAGCAGAAATTGAACTATAGTCCAATTTCTCACCATTTTAGAGTTGAATTGTTTTAAAATATAAATTGTTTTTGAATATCATGGTTGAAGAATGGAATTATTATTCCATATCCTGCTTAAATAGTTCATCGACCTTAAAAAGCAACTATTGCAAAATTTGCCTAATTATTGTTACCTTGCGAGGCATTTTTCAATTAATTCAGGTCACATAATTATGATTTCTACAATAAATATTTCAAATATATCGATTATTGTAATCTGACACCTTTTTAAATTTGTCCTGAACACATTCCTCTTTAACTCTAATAGCATTTTCGTACTACTCTGGTTCAAATTTCAGTTCTAGGAGAGCCGGGAATAGAATTTTCACGCCTCTCTAGTTCAGTTTCAGCTCTACAGTCTACAAGAATCAAACATTGATAACCAATTATAGCCAAAATGGCCATCCAGTTAGTATAATAAGACATCAAACATCAAAATTATTCATCTCTGGCGAATAATTGGCATTCGACTGAGAATTTCAGTAATTATGATTGAAATGCCATGCATATAATCTGGCTTATGGCATAATTACATTATGGCATTAAAATTTTAATGCTTTTTTACCTAGTTATCTTCTTAATTGGCTATCAGGTATAAACTAACTGAGCAAGGTGGCTGGCAATTTGGCTTCAGGTTTTCCTATTTTCCGCTTGGAAATTTCTCTCATTAATTCCTTATTAAAGCCTTGCCAGAGTCTGAGTTGGGAGTTTTAATGATCTTCCCCTAGCTTGTGAACTTATCAATAATCAAGCCTTGTTAAGGTTAATGACAAGTCTTCAGGTTCCATTGCTCAAATAAATAGGTATCAAAGCTCAATATGATTAGTTTTATAAGAAAACCTCTTAGTTTTATAAGAGAAATTCAACATTATCCTGATTTAAAATGTTTCTCTCGAGTTCAATGTTACTTGCGCTGACGTAACCGTACATTTTTGCTCCGCGAATCTCCAATTCAAATTTAATGGGTTGCATATGTTCAACGTTTATGACCTGTCCAAAATCGACTCCCACTGATCGGATTACCATTTTATCCAAAGTGAAAAATACATAAACAAAACTGGGTCAGAATGATATTGAAGAGTGCTTAATATAAAATTTTCCCATAAAAGTAAAATACGAAACATGGATATTTCCAACACGCCAAAGCACCCTAAGGGTGGCTGTACTTCTAATAAATTCGGCAAGTTTCCACTTTGGGGAATATGAGTTGAAATTTAGGATGGCAAGCGACCTTTCGGCCTTAATTTTTAATTCGAGTCGATAAATAATTCGGAGTTTATTTTTCTCTCTTTCCAAACGTTTATATAGAGTTAAAATTAGCTCCTCTTAATGAACAGATAAACGACTTGCCAGATAAATGCCGAAAGATTTAAAGGCCTGGAATAATTTATTAAGAAACAGGAATGAGCTAAAAGATAGACAACTACTAAAGAGGAAAGAGGGACATTCCTTATACAGGTTTTAAATTTTAGTGGAGCAAATCAGATTAAAAGTTTGAAAAATTGAACATTTAAGGCCACATTGTACTAATCAAAATTCAGATTTTTAAATTATTATTTCTATTACATTTCTTTGTCCTTAATAACCGAGTTCTCCATCGAATATCGACCGGCTCCTTTCGGATGCCGGACCCGCTAGTTCACGATCTCTGCCGATTCCAGGTTTTTTTCCCTGTTCTTCCTGTGAGAGAACAGTCGCTCCTGGCGCTTCCCAGAGAGTCCCGGTTTCCCAGTTCTGGGACGCGACTTTTTCATCGGGTCGGAAAATTCAAAAAAAAAAAAAAATCAGTCAACAATTTATTGGTAAATAATAATTGAATTTTCTATTTTAAAAGTTATTAGTGGTTTAAGTTTGTTATTATTTATTATAAATTAATTGGAAGAAAAGTTATCGCCCACTTAGTTTAAAAGCCAACAAGTGACCTTAGAGCCTACCATTGTTTTGCAATCGTGTCCTTATTGGGAATCTTGAATAACCTCCGAAGGACGCAAGTTTTCTTGTATTTTTACTTCTTATTGATATAGTGAACATGAATTTATAATTCCGGAAATGGTAATTCAATGAGTAAAAAATTCATTGTAAGTTTCATATCAACTTCCAATTTGTTTTGTATCATGAGAAAACTGTAAATAATAAGTCCTGAAAGTTTCAAATTGCTGGGGTGGCTCAAAGTATTTTTCAGGAACCTTCAAAGACGATTTTACAGGCATTTTATGATTTTCAATCAGTATAAAAATTGGCAACTTCAGTTGTGAGTTTTAAATCAACTTCCAATTTGTTTTGTATCATGAAAAAACTGTAAATAATAAATCCTGAAAGTTCCAAATTGCTGGTATGACTCAAAGTATTTTTCAGGAATCTCCAAAGATGATTTTACAGGAATTTTATGATTTTCAATGAGTAAAAAAATTTGCAACTTTAGTGGTGAGATTCATATCAACTTCCAATTTGTTTTGTATCATGAAAAAACTCTAAATAATAAATCCTGAAAGTTCCAAATTGCTGGGATGACTCAAAGTATTTTTCAGGAACCTCCAAAGATGGTTTTACAGGAATTTCATGATTTTCAATGAGTAAAAAAATTCACAACTTTTGTGGTGAGATTCATATCAACTTCCAATTTGTTTTGTATCATGAGAAAACTCTAACTAATAAATCCTGGAAGTTTCAAGTTGCTGGGATGGCTCAAAGTATTTTTCAGAAACCTTCAAACACGATTTTACAGTAATTTTATAATTTTCTCAGGTATCAATGGGTAAAAAAATAGTTGTGAGTTTCATATCAATTATTAATTTGTTTTGCATCATGAAAAAACACTAATTAATAAATCCTGAAAGTTTTTAGTTGCTAGGATGGCGTGAAGTATTTTTCAGGAGCCTTCAAAGACGATTTTACAGGAATTTTATGATTTTCTCAGTTATCAATGAATAAAAAAAATCGCAACTTTACTTGTGAGTTTCATATCAACTTCCAATTTGTATTGTATCATGAGAAAACTCCAATTAATAAATCCTGAAAGTTTCAAATTGCTGGGATGGCTCAAAGTATTTTTCAGGAACCTTCATAGACGATTTTACAGGAATTTCATGATTTTCTCAGGTATCAATGGATACAAAAATAGTTTTAAGTTTTATATCAACTTTTAATTTGTTTTGTATCATGAAAAAACTCCAATTAATAAATCCTGAAAGTTTCAAATTGCTGAGATGGCTCAAAGTATTTTTCAGGAACCTTCAAAGACGATTTTACAGGAACCTTCAAAGACGATTTTACAGGAATTTTATGATTTTCTCAGGTATCAATGGGTACAAAAATAGTTGTAAGTTTAATATCAACTTTTAATTTGTTTTGTATCATGAAAAAACTCTAATTAATAAATCCTGAAAATTTCAAATTGCTGGGATGGCTCAAAGTATTTTTCAGGAACCTTCATAGACGATTTTACAGGAATTTTATGATTTTCTCAGTTATCAATGAGAAAAAAAAATCGCAACTTTACTTGTGAGTTTCCTATCAACTCCCAATTTCTTTTGTACCATAAGAAAACTCTAGTTAATAAATCCGGAAAGTTCCAAATTGCTGGGATGATTCAAAGTATTTTTCAGGAACCTCCAAAGATGATTTTACAGGAATTTTATGATTTTCAATGAGTAAAAAAATTCACAACTTTTGTGGTGAGATTCATATCAACTTCCAATTTGTTCTGTATCATGAGAAAACTCTAACTAATAAATCCTGGAAGTTTCAAGTTGCTGGGATGGCTCAAAGTATTTTTCAGAAACCTTCAAACACGATTTTACAGTAATTTTATAATTTTCTCAGGTATCAATGGGTAAAAAAATAGTTGTGAGTTTCATATCAATTATTAATTTGTTTTGCATCATGAAAAAACACTAATTAATAAATCCTGAAAGTTTCTAGTTGCTGGGATGGCTTGAAGTATTTTTCAGGAGCCTTCAAAGACGATTTTACAGGAATTTTATGATTTTCTCAGTTATCAATGAATAAAAAAAATTGCAACTTTACTTGTGAGTTTCATATCAACTTCCAATTTGTATTGTATCATGAGAAAACTCCAATTAATAAATCCTGAAAGTTTCAAATTGCTGGGATGGCTCAAAGTATTTTTCAGGAACCTTCATAGACGATTTTACAGGAATTTCATGATTTTCTTAGGTGTCAATGGATACAAAAATAGTTTTAAGTTTTATATCAACTTTTAATTTGTTTTGTATCATGAAAAAACTCCAATTAATAAATCCTGAAAGTTTCAAATTGCTGAGATGGCTCAAAGTATTTTTCAGGAACCTTCAAAGACGATTTTACAGGAATTTTTGTGATTTTCTCAGGTATCAATGGGTACAAAAATAGTTGTAAGTTTTATGTCAACTTTTAATTTGTTTTTGTATCATGAAAAAACTCTAATTAATAAATCCTGAAAATTTCAAATTGCTGGGATGGCTCAAAGTATTTTTCAGGAACCCTCAAAGACGATTTTACAGGAATTTTATGATTTTCTCAGTTATCAATGAGTAAAAAAAATCGCAACTTTACTTGTGAGTTTCCTATCAACTTCCAATTTCTTTTGTACCACAAGAAAACTCTAGTTAATAAATCCTGAAAGTTTCAAATTGCTGAGAGGGCTTAAAGTATTTTTCAGGAACATTCAAACTGAAAGAGCTTCGAAACTCTATGACCAAATTAAAATCGTTTTTTCCCGATAATTAAGCCCGACATTTTGACGGAGAAAATTGAATTTTCCGAACCGAAAAGCGTCGCTTTTTATTATGAAAATTTCTAAAACCGGAAGGTGGAAAATATTATGATGTGATGGTCTTGCAGAAATTCGTATCGACACGGTATTGGTATTCGAGGCGAGGCAGAAAACGGTAAGTGAATTTTCAAACTGAAAGTTTAAAGGGATTCTGACAGATTTAAATTTCAATTTCGTATTAAAATTTATCTCAAAATTCGATTAAAAACCACGTCAAAAGGCAAGTTCAGTCAATCCTCCAAGAGTTAAGAGGACTGGGTACCTACTTAAAACGGGTGAAACTACTTTTCGATTTACAACTGAAGTATTTGATCAAAATCAATAAAATTAGGTGGGATAGTAGAGGATGAATTATAGAATGGTGCAAAGTCTTTCATATTCCAATTTTTATTTTTTTGAGAAGTGACATAATCTTTTGGATTATTTTATTTGATAAAAAATTACTTTTCACTATTCTATAACTCATCATCTACCATCTCACTAAATTTAATTGATTTTGATACATTAATCGAAAAGTAGTTTAACCCGTTTTAAGTAGGTATTCAGTCCTCTTAAATAATGACACTGTTGACAAAAGCCCACGTGATTTAATTTTGAATTTATACAACTAATCACGTGTGCCTGTCATCTAAAAATTGACACTTGACAATTGAAAATTGAATTTTTCTCTAAATCCCTCCATGATGGTTCTATTTTGCTATTGAAATTCAATATTCAGTAATTGAATAGAGCCTCAATTTACTGATATTGTTCAAAAAGTGTTTTTGAGGCTCAAAATGTTTCAGTTTACTTGATAAATGACTTTTGCCTTGGAAAAATAAATAATGATTTAAATCGACAAGAGAAAAGATAAGAGTGGCAAAATCAAAGATTTATGGTTTCAGAAATAATCTCTTGAGCGGAAAAATAACATTCCAAACATAAGAGAAAGTAAAACATTTTCAGCAAAAGTCTATCAATCATCTTTTATCCTTCATATCATTGCCGGGACATTGATTTTTGTCTTGCACAGGTGGCCAAAGCCAAATAGTTTGTGCTTAGGAAGTGCAGCTTTATACTTCTCAAACCAATATTGAAGCAAATTTTTAATACTCCATATCCACTTTGTCTGTGTCAAATTTAAAATTCCATTTTTCGATAGTATAGGCAAAAGGAACAAAGATAAAATGAATTTTTCCATTATCCGGAAACTGATATTTCTGCTCAAAAATGAAAGAATTGAAATGGACACGAGCCAAGCTTTGATATTGTAGAATAATTGTAAAATTATAGTTTATCTTGTTGAGACGTTAAACTACATAGAAACAAATAATTTCTGGTGAAACTCAAAATGTATTCAATTCAATGCCATAAGCATTATACAAACATCTTATAAATATCGTATTTCAACCTCGATATTGCAGACGCGTGTTTAGAAATAATAATAGAAATTGTATAACAAATTCAAACCGGGAAACTTAATATTTCTATTTACAAATTGAAATGTTTCTTTACATCATTTTCTTTTTTCAATTTTCAACGCCCTCTTAACGATCGTGACACTCCCTTTAACCTTTGCATATTCACACCTTTACTCCAGTTTTCCGTTCCCTTTAATTAATTAGTGAATGAAAGCTGTAACTTTTCAGACAGTCCAGGAAAAGCTTCTTTATAGCACACTAAACAATAATTTTAGTGTTTTTGAATTAGAATAGAACAGGTAGAACAGCCAGAGGGAGGTTCCTGCACAGTGCACAGGGCTTCAACAACAAATTTAAAAGTTTTAGCTCCAATGCAACAAGGTTTTTCGAGCAAAATCCAAATCCAAATAATATATTATTATACCGATCAAGTCGTTAATAACAAGCCAGTAGGTCCTTTATGGGTTTTACGAGCCGGGGCCCGAGCCCTTGAAGGGATTTAAACGACGTGTGTGTTTACTTTGCGAAAAGCTTTACGACGCGATTTTCCGCCATTGATTTAGACGTTACCAACTTTTTTCCTATTTTGCTCTTCCTGGTAATCCCTTCGCTCGATCATTAAAAAGTAATCCGGCTTGGCCTACATATTTTTTATCTCGGATATGGGAATGGAAAATCTGATTTGGAGGGTAAATCTCGTTTACCATGCATTAATGAGGTTTGGAGAAATTCTTCACCTTCTGGTTAACTGTCAGGTAATGCAATCTGGTGAATAAAACAGCAATCAATAATCCCATTGATCGACCAGTTATCCAGCGACCAACAGGATAAGAGATCAATAAATTTAGCTTGCAAATAGTTACCAGCAATTTATCTAATAATGAATAATCCAGCAATAAGACATAATATGCCTCTATTCAAATATTATCCTTTTTCTAAGTCCTTTTTCATGTACATCGTAAAAATTCCTCCACCTACAAAACCTATTTGTCGCTGATAAAAAAAACAATAATTTACGAGGGTAATTCGCACCCCGCTGTTCGTGTACGTTTTTTCTTTGTATACAAAAGACTCGGATTTGTAAATGCGGCGAGAGTGAAACGGAATTTTCTACAAATTGTCCCTTTTGTGCCAAATTGGATGTTTCCCAATTTTATAGGAATCAACTTAAGATTTTGATCATTTTCGGATTTTTGGGTCAATTTTTATTTTGATCCTACCGACTGCGCCAATAAGTAATTTTCCCATTGGAAACAAATTTTTGCGGTTTTAATTAAACCATAAACTCGGTTGGAGGTAAAATTTATATTACCGGGAGCTTTCAAATTAAATCTAACTACATACTTTATTATAGGGATTATTTTGAAACTCCGTATATAGGAAGAAATAAGAAAAATAAAATGGCTGGTTTTATATTAAACTAACAACAGGGAGGGTTGGGTTTTAATTAGATTTTGTTGCCCTATAGAGGGTGTGCAAACTGAGTGTTTTTATTCTGTAATTTTTGAAGGTACTTTCTCTGTTCCTAACTTGCAAGATCTACTTTTGATTTATTTAACCTTCTTATAAATTAGTCACATTTGTTTGATAATAAGACCTCAAATTGCAAGAGTCATCAAATTGTGAAAACAACATTTGCGACAACAACAATTGCAAATTATCATTTTATCGATAACCGTCCAACTCATATTTTCGCCTGTTATTTTTAATGGTCGATAAACAAAGTGAGAGATTGTTTCGTTTATACAGGTTGTTTTCAATAGCAAATCAATATACTCAACATAGATTGGAAAGCAAAAGTCGGTACCACCTGATGGGTAACTGTAAAATCCGGTATGGTACTCTATACCGATATAAAGAAGAACAGTTCGTTTTTACTTCGTCGATGATAACTGAATACAATTACGCCATAGACAAAGGGAGCAAAACATCATTATTATTGCAAAACGCGTGGGAAAAGCTCGGCCATTGTTTGCTTTAAAAATTAAGTTCCATTTTATGCACACGCCTTTAGGTTTAAATATTGCAACCGAACCGGTATCAAGGGATGCATTTCGGGGGCTAATTGGAACATTTCAAATTAAGGGCAAAACATTTTTCAATTATTCAAGTTGGAGTTTGGGGGGGTCTTGGTTCTAGACACTTTCGATAGGGGGTACTTACACGGTCCGGATACCATTCAATGGCCATCAAAATTTGCTGGGTAATTCCAGATCACGACTATTCCAACTTGAAAAAATGTTTGCAAAAGAACAAGAACTATCCACTAGCTACAAGAAGTTCCTTCACGAATATTTGACATTAAATCACATGACTGCTATTCCGGCCCACGAAACAATGAACAAATACTAAATTCCATATCAACCAGTCATAAAAGAGTCAAGCACTAAAAGAAAACTGTGAATAGTGTTTGACGCATCATCGAAAACATTAACAGGGCAGCTTAATTGGCTCTGTTACCACAAAATTAGTTTAAATGTGAAAAAATCAAGCTATATGGTAATATCAAAGTTTGAGTCCTGGCCTGACTTCACAATAAACTTTCAAGGTGCTGCCATTGACTCGTGCGGAGTGCATCAAATACCTGGGACTCTTTGTCGATTGAAAACTTATTTGGGATATGCACATCTTGCATATATGTAAAAAGATTGCTCCAGCAATTGGAGTACTTGGTTGAATCCATTACGTATCGTAAGATGATATACAATTCCCTTATCAATTCTCACATATCATATCTAACTTTGCTATGGGGCAATGCTTCCCTTTAACTGCATCCATTGTCAGTTCTCCAAAATCGTCCTATAAAAAAATTGTTTAAGCTGCCATTTATGTTTCCGACAAAAGACTTATATTATCCGAATGGTATTCTGGACATTCACTCCCTGTATATCTTGCAATCATGCATCTTTATCCATTCTTGCAAGACTTCCAAGTTCCAATATCCACTCTACAATAAGTCTTATCCAACGCAGCATCTTATCAGAAGGACTAAGGTACTACAATCGAATTCCAGAATCTGTTAAAAGATTGAACATAACTTGTTTCAAGTGTAAGCTGGAGCAGCTGATCTTCGAAGGATACTTTAGGACTGTACAATGAAAAACTTTATCTGCAATTTAGAACTAATATATTCATAAATGCAACAACTTTGTGATACAAAACCTACTTGTACTGGATATTTTCTCTTGTGTGATATTGTATAATGTATATTAATACGGTATATTGTAATAATGTTATACATATTATTATATGATACTGAATGACCCGGATGCGTGGAGGTAAGTAACACCCTGTTTAGCATTCGGCAATCCGTTCGACAACGGTTCGGTTTTTTTAAATGTGACACCCGTGGTTGCATGGATGTGCGCTTTATCGGGTGTTACTTACCCTCGGTATTAGATAAGCCTATTTACTATTACCATCTTGTGAATATGTAATTATTTTGGGGCATTGAAATTTTAAAACATGAGTATATAAGTGCAAAATATAATTATTATTGTTATATTATTCTAAATTCTACTGTGCGTTCGTAATTTAGCAGATAAAAACAATAAAAGAGATTTCTCGAAAAACCTCGGACACTAATTTTAATTTAGGAGAACGTCTTTTTCACTATTTGTATAGTTGGGGAACATCGGAAAATCCAAAAAGAAGGCTACGTTTCACATTTTTAAATAACACACTGTATATGACCTTTTTTTTTATGAAATAACAAGGAATTGATTAATATATAGGGTGGGCTCAAAAAACCGGAATTTTGTTTTTGAGCTGTAATTTTTTTGTTGCTGACCAATTTCCTATTGTGTGTAGATATAGACTACAAAAGATTCAGAACAAATTGTGTACGATAGGTATATACTGAACCACAGATTGAACATAAATAGACGAGAACATGTTACTCCTTACATTACCAAGAGTGAAATGCTCAAGATAAAAGAAAGAAGATTTTTACATTTTGCTATTTTGATACAAAATATTATTTAGAACTCAGAATATCTCTCCGGTGAGGCTTGGTGACATTCATACCAGGTCAAAAAGGAACAGATACTTTCGAATTACATTGTACTGAATTTTTTTAATCTTCTTTCTCTTATTTGGGTCTACATGTGTACATGATACCAAAAGGAAATACAAAAAGTAGGGCCTATAAGCAAGAATTAACGAGCGAATTAATAAAATACAGAAAGTTTAAAACATAAAAAACTAATAATATTATATCTATACTATGTATCTAGTAAAGGCATTAGGTACTGTTAAACATTATGTGAATGCAAATCTGTCCAGGGTAAGTAACACCCGATAAAGAAACTCTCCATTGCGATATCGAGTGTTACATTCAAATTTGCGAACGTGAGCCAAATGGGTGTTACTTACCTCCATGCGACCCGGATAGCTTTTCAGCTCAGGGTCTCTAGTTTAGGTACATACATCTATATTGTTTAACTATCATGTTGAAATAAAGGAAAAAAAAAATCAGGTTGCTGACAGCCAAATCCAAGGAAGCCCCGATAAAAATGTAACAACATTGTTAGGTTAGAACGAGGGTTAGAACTCTGTTCGGCATTGCTTCTGGCGAAGTTAATGAAAAGAAGAATAAATGCATTGCCGTACCAGCACACTAAGATGTCCGCGTGGACGGACTCCATGCTTGCTTTGTCATGGATTAAAGGGGAGCCAATTAAATGGAAAACGTTTGTGGCAAATCACGTATCAGAGATTAACATTTTTCATTCCAAAACAACACTGGCATCATGTCCGAACAGAAGATGTTATGTCAAGAGGATTGGATCCATTTGAACTAAAAAAGCATGCAATATGGTGGCACAGCCCCCACTGGTCGCAGTCATCAGAAGCTATAAATAATCAATCCGTGAAGAAACCATTAATTAACTTACCCACAAGAAGAGGTCAAACTGTGTCACACAGTTGTAAGAGAAAGAAAGAAAACAAATGATCTTATACTAAGATTCTCTTCCTTAACTAAACTTCTTCCAGTAACAGCAGTTTGTTTAAAATTTGCAAACAATTGCAAATCAAGAATTAAACAATCAGGACTTCTGTCAACCAAGGAACTACAGGCCGCACTAAAAAGGATCCCGAAAGTTGAACAAGAAGACTTGCAACGGAAAGAATCGCTTAGTAGGAAAAGTAATCTTTTAAACCTAAATCCATTTATTGACGATAACGTCATATTTGCGTATTGGTGGAAAATTAGAGAACTCGCAACGATCATACGAAACTAAACTAAGCATTCAATGGCCAATGATTCTGCCGTATTATAATCAGCTGATTAGGCGCATTCCCCAGGCATTGCATTCTAGAGTAAAATTAAAACTCGAACAGTTGGAAAAAGACGGAATTATAGCTAAAGTGGATAAGCCAACTGAATGGCTAAATCCATTGGTTATAGTCGAAAAGAAAAACAAAGATTTGAGGTTGTGTTTAGACCCAAAATTCCTAAATAATGCTATTAGTCGCGAACTCTTTCTCATTCCAACTGTTAATGAAATAGCTAGTAATTTGTCTAATAAATCGTATTTTTCTGTCCTCGATATGAAAGATGGGTATTTTCAAGTGAAAATTACGGATGAAAGCTCAGATTATTGTACCTTTGGAACCCCATTTGGACGGTATCGGTTTCTACGGTTACCATTTGGTATACGCTCAGCTCCTGAGGTATTCCAGCGTAAAAATTAGGAATTATTTGATGACAATAAGGGAGTCGGAATTTATTCCGATGATTTGATCATTATAGGATCAACGGAAAAAGAGATGATTACAATTTGAAGTTAGTTCTTGAACGAGCCAAAAAATACAACAATAAATTTGATAAGTGATAAGTCCAAAATACAGTTTAAGTCAAGGCAGGTTAAATTTATGGGCCAGTTGTTTTCAGAAAATGGAATAGAAACATGTGAATCATATATCAAGGCCATTGTAGACATGCCACGCCCGCAGCAAAAAACTGATGTATTAAGATTGTTAGGCAAAATACTTATTCCAAATTTATCCAAAGTAACAGCACCTTTACGGAACCTTACAAGGTTGGATGTTGAATGGCCTTGGTGCTTGGTTAAGCCAACTTAAGTATTTACTCTCTCATGCCCCTGTTTTGCCGTTTTTTGACCCTTCAGCTGATATTGAAATTGAAACTGATGCTTCCAAAGATGGTTTAGGAACCTGTCTTTTACAAAATGGGCATCCTATAGCGTTTAGTTCTCGCAGTCTTACGGAAAGTGAAATTAAGTATGCACAAATTGAAAAGGAAACATTATGGCCATTGATTTTGCGTGCCAGAATTTCCATTATTTAATTTATGGTATCAAAAATGTTTTGATACATAGTGATCATGAGCCACTTGTTTCCATTTTTCAAAAAGACCTGTATAATGTAATTCCTAGATTGCAGAGATTAAGATTTAAGGAGCATTTACATTCACTTCTAACTTCAAGTTAAATTTGACGTTTGATATTTTATCATTTACATTGCAGAACATAAACGTCAAGTCAAAACGTCAGAATTTTATGAGAATCGGATGGATAAGGGATGGATAATCTAAAAATTTGACATTTCAAAAATTTCTGCTTGCCCAAATTTAAAGTGCATTTCAAAGTGAACTTCAAATTTATTTCAATGTAAATGGATCTGGTGCTGTCGCCATATGGCAAGCACGTCAATTTCAAGACAAATTGGACTTTGAAGTGAATGTAAATGAACCATAAGATTACTTAAATATGACCTGAATGTGACATATAAGCCTGGAAAGTACTTGCATATAGCAGATACCTTGTCCAGAGCTTATTTAATTACTCCTGATTTTGACGATCCCGAATTGAAATTTGCTATTCATTCTTTGGTTAATCATTTACCCATATCGGAACAACGAAAATTTGAACTAAAACAAGCAACAATAGATGATCCTGATTTAAGCACTGTGTGATCTTTTGTTTCTCGGTAACAAGCATGTAGTTCCAAAAAAATTGCAACTTTTTATGCTTCAAAAATTGCACGAGGGGCATATTGGCATGGATAAAGTAAAATTGAAAGCTAGACAAGTATTTTATTGGCCGTATATGAGTTTAGACATAGAAAATTTCACTAAAAAATGTAAAGTATGCGAAAAGTTTGCAAGGAAAAATATCAAGGAACCTTTAAAACCGCCAGGTAGAAATTACTATCCAATACGGAAATCATATTCTATTCAGTTTTATGGACAAGCTTTAATCACAGCCAGAACTTTATCCATGTATATGGATATTTCATAATCACAGAAATAGACGATTTTTGCATAATAAAAACAACTCCGATTTCACCAATGGAACAGTAAGAAGGTTTGCAATGGCCCTTTGTCTATCTACTCAATACATGTATTTGCAGCCAACATTGGAGTGAGAGAACGGGAGAGATCCGTGCGTGAGATCTGCCCTTACTAGCGCTATCTGACCTAGGGTTAGAGTGAGAGATCCGGGAGATCTAATACATTTCCTGCGCTTACTAGCGCTATCTCATTCTGGAATCCATTGAATGACGCAAAGTCCATTCTAAACCCTAAACCTTCTTATTACTTGGACGTAAGATATCCCAAACGACTCAATTGCTGTAAATTATAATTCTCAGCTGTATTTCTATATTAGTCAAAACGAGTTGATAACGTGTATAAACATTAGCGATGACAGATACATATTATGATCTCCAACAACCATTAAGAATATGGAGATAAATCCGCATTACATAACGGCATAATTGAAATCTCTCAAAATTGTATTATTAAAACTACCAGAAATATATTGATCGCAGAACCATGATAAACATTACAGACTTCCCAGAATCTCCACATTATGACCTTCAACCTTCAAAGTACATGACGAACCTGTAATCAATGCCTCCGACAAGTTCAATCAGTTACAAAATAGGGCGATAGAAATTCAGGACCAGTTACAGAAGAGTGAAGACTAAGTAGACTTCATTGCATCATCAATTCTTAATCAGCAACACTCTGGTATATGTGCTACTAGATGTCACCGTAGTATCAATAAGCATCACATGTTACATGTTTCGAAAAAGACAAAATATACGTAGATCTTGTCCATGTTTTCAAATAATAAATCAGTATTAAACTCTTAGACCATTGAACTACATCTTGGTTTTCATTCAACCCCAAACCACTACAGCCACAGGTCATCAAGCAAGCAGGAAGTTGACTAAGAAAAACTTCCCTCACGGAAAATACACCAAAAGGGTATTATTTTTTCAAGTGAGGTTATGCGTGTGACGTCAGCTAGTGCCTAATGGTATCTCAAATAAATCTGAACTTCTCTGAGGATGTTATTGTTATAATAGGAACCTACAGAGACACCTACATAATGAACCCTTTTCTAGTTTTCAATCAGCATAATTACGTGAATTAAAACCTTCAATTAAACAAAGTAGATTTAGCAATTATTGCAACCCACTCAGGCGAAATTAATTGAAGCAAATAAATATAGGTACGGAATTTATTTCGTGGACAATCGAGCTTTACTATTATGATGGAAATTGAGCGCGTAGCTTCTCACTTTAAATTTCTTGTGGCGTTTCTCGTTTTGCACCCAGTACCTGATCTGGTTCTTTTTACAATAATCGATCGCTTGCTCTTTCGTCGAAAACGGCATTTTGACGTTGGACACCGGATCTCCGGACGAGCACCAACCCATCGTTGCGTTCTCCCAACGTTCTTTCGTATCAAAATCGATTTCCCAATGACCCAAATGACGAGTACCTATAATCAAAGATGATTTTGCTGCAATAAATTATTATATATTACCTTGTTGTTGTGCATTCTTTGTAGGCTGATGAATCCTAGCAGACCGATTACAATGAATCTCTATCGGTACTTTTCTAACTAAAGAAAAATCATCTGGTACTCGTAAAACGATTTTACATGTGCGCAATAGTCTGCATTTGTAACCTTCGGCATCTTCCAAGTGTTTTATTTCGGGCTCGGGTAAGTAATCGCCGTTTTCTGAGTCTTGCACTTGAAGATCAGTGCAACGTGATGAGCTTGCGCTTACCGACTGGTGGAATTTCGGAAGGCATAGTTCCAGGAAAGTTTGGCGAAAAAAATTGAACCTCAATGGTGCCATATAATAAGATTGACAGAGATGATGGACAGTGATTGATGAGGCCAGGTGACATTAGAAACAACTACAATTTGAAGTTTAGGTACCAAATTATGGAAAGATACGAATTTTAAAAGCAGAAGAAAATTTAAATAGCTATTTATACAACAAGTTACGAAATGAGTGTCTTTTAGGCACGCGACGTGAAAATTGTCCAACGAGGCGTAGCCGAGTTGGACAACACGTCGAGTGACTAAAAGACATCGTTTCGTTACGTGTTGTATACAAGATTTTTTCTACTGGCGTTTCATACTGAAAAAAAACATAATTTTATTCCTCGTAAATAAGAGCCGATCACGCCAAAAAAGTTTGGCACCTGCTTTTGATTGACATCTTTCATGAGGTTTTTTTGATTGAAAATTGAAATCCTATTGAAAAAAACAACAGAAAGTTCTGTTTTGAGTAACCCAAACGTTTACTTTAGTAGTTCAAATAATTGCATTTACAACATTTATGAAAAAATAGACAAAATTCAAATCTGTGTTTTTTATTTCTGAACAATGAGTGACACTTTTAGGCACTAGTGCTTAAAAGTGTCACTTTTACGCACTAGTGCTTAAAAGAATGCCATTTAAAAACTAAAATGACAATCGAAAAGTCGCTATTATGAAACGTCAGTAGAAAAAACAAATTTATAAACTCTAAAAATAAAAAAGTTGACCAAATGTTGAAATTGTTCTAAATGAACAGAATCCATAATCTTGATAAATATTTCGAAATTCCTTCAAAAGATACGAACTTTAAAGCTTATTTTAGAAGAATTCAAAACTTCTAATCGAGATAATGCAAAGCAAAAATGAGCCTCTTGAGATATTAATAAACGCCTCTTGTAACAAGAATAAAGGGAAGCTAAATCTGTTATCTTTAAACGTCAAGTGGCTTATTGAACTCTTTTAAATACAAAACCCATTCTTGATTGCAATAACCGGTAAATGGGAAATTTGATATTTCAGACTACAATTTAACAGTGGAAATTTTATTTTGGCACCAAACTACGAGTCGTAAAATGGAATCTAAAATTTCATTGGTCACTAAGAAATTAAACTATTTCAGCTTCGGCTATTGAAAAATCGAAGGAGAAATTCCATTTTGCTTGTTTGTGAACCAAACTTATTAAATAATTAACACTTGGGTGCTAATGAATTACACGAATAATAATTATATCAATGCTTAACTTGTGTGCATAAATAAATCAGTCAGCAGTTTAGTTTAAAATGATGCTGGAGCCTCATGACATTTTATCAACTGATCTTGATGATATTGAGTAAGTGAAGAATAAGAACTTGTAACTTTACTGTTCTGAATACAAGAAATCATTCGAATTGGCTTAGATTTGAATTATTTTTAGGTCATATTCAAACAATCTCTTTTCTTTTCCAGTACACCGTTAACGGAATCATCTCTGAGCTGTCTGGGTGATCCGCCCGATGGCCGCCAAATCGCGGCGATGCCGCCCGAAGCCATGAGACCATCGGAAACCGACAGTCCGCCACCACAGAATACTCAGAGTACGGAGCAGGCGGTAGCGGTACCGCCGCACGAGTTGGAGCTGCTCGCCAAACTGGAGGCGGCCAATCGGCTGATCGAGGCGGACGCGAAGTCGCTCGGTTCGTTGAGCGGCGCGTCCGGACACTCGCGCAAAGGCTCGGATACGAGTCAGGTTTCACTCACTTCCGGTAAGAATTTCTTTTTATAATTAAAATCCATCTTGATAGTTAATTTGAACCGATAAGAAGAGGTACTTGATTGTCTGAAGCAATTTTGCAAAGTTTTAAGTCATAATTGAGGTGTCAAATTGCGTGAATCTGAGAAAAATCTCACATAATCTTTTAAGCAAAACACTGATATTAAAAATGGTGTCGTTGGTTCGATCTCAATCAGTTCATTCTTCGATATCTCAAAATCTGTTAAAGATATCACAGCTCCTTGGAGGGGAAGCCGTACTAACCCTTTTTTTTTCGGGGTTCAGGAAATCTGCTAATCAGACTATCCCCGCCTGTTGTTCTGACGGCGGGGGATGTGTCAGGTTCGACTAAAACCCTTCTTCGCCTACCCTACCACCATGCGGGACCGCTTGCGCATTAGTTCGCATGGTGAAGTGTAGATTTGTGTGTATTATATCTTCTTTCTTCTACTCGTCCATGTCTTCACTGTTCCTTTCCTTTTTAGCATATCGCTAGCCATATTCTTCACTGCGCTCCAATTTTCTTCGCTATTAGTCATTTTTGCCACTATGTTTTCGGGAGTGACTGGGTCTGTTTCTGCTGTCCAGGTTCCTCGTTGAGCGTTCCATTGACTGCAATAAAAGAAGGAAGGTATGTTCAGCGTTGTCGGTTTCTCCGCAATATATACATTCGTTGTCTGGTGTTTTGTTTATCGTGTATATGTAGTCTCGGAAGCTTCCATGTCCCGTCAGCAATTAATTGACCATTAGGATACAAAATCTCAACTAAAAAAAAATTGAAATTTCATCTTTTTAGTAAGAAGGTGGCTCTTATGATTTAGATTTTGGAAGGGCATAACTTTTTTTCTATTATACCTAGATAAAAAGCTGAAATTTTCACTAAATCTCATCTCAACAAAGAGACTACAATCCCTGGAAATTTCAGCTCATTTGCACTTATAGTTCCTGAAATAAAATCGTGTTAAGCAATTTGGGCTGATCAAACGATCAAAAAACAGTAATTATATAAGCGATATAATTATAGACTATTTAAAGGGTGACACGGATTTGCGAAACTTGAAAAAGGTAACTCAGGCAGCAGGTTTCAAACAAATAGTGACAAAAGCAACAAGAGTAACAGATAGGTCAGCAACACTTATAGATCACATTGTTACAAACGACTTCAAACTAAAGGAAATCCCCAGAGATCCTAAAGTTAACTGATCACGATATTATTGGTATTCAAATGGACTATGCAGGAAAGAAATCAACCCTTAGAAAAATATTTGTGAGAAACCTATATACCTACCTCTACTGATGTTAATGCTATCTTTTTTGAATTTATGAACACAATTTTGATAGCAATAAATAAAATTGCTTCAATACAAAGTGAGACTCTAGATGATTCTAATAAGTATCTTTAGATAATTCGACAAGTAAAACTGGTAAACTGGTTTTTGATTGAAGTTTCAAACATTTCGGTGAAATCACAAATTGGATAACTCGCTTTATTCTCGAATAAAATGTTCTAAAATTTCCTTGAAATGTCTTTTTCTGAATGTCGATTGTTATAGCAAACGCGTCGGTAAAGTCACAAAGTTGATATCTCCCTTGGTTTCCAAATAGAATTTTCTAGAACTTACTTGAAAATCATAGTCAAAATCGGGTATACAGTCACTTACTAATTCACACAATCGGTTAAGTCTCTTCTTGTGATTGTCACTGCTTACACTGACTAATTGTCCCAGTGTTCACTCAGTGCCCACACTAGTGTCCACACTACTCTGCCATCAATCGGATTCCACTATGCAGTACTCGAATTATATCTCACTTCCGACACCAATGTCACGACTCTGGGGTGCGTGACAGAAATCTTGGGTTCGTTTATTCCAAAATAAAAGTCCAATTAACACAACAATAATTTATCCCACGTTACTATATTAACATTCTGACACTAATTACTTCACTAATTAACTCAAACGACTTAACTCTTCACAACTTCAATATTCACTATCTTAATCGTATCACGGTGAAGCCTAAACTTAAAAACTTCTAACTAATACTGGCCTTCATATATCCGTAATCCATTCTTGTAAAATCCAGAATAAACGCGATAGACTTTTTTCTTGAACAAGGCAGTATTTATATAGGTATAGATTGTAGAGTGATGTACCATTTAAAACGAAACAGGCTAAATATCTGATGCTACGCTTATTTTCAAAAAAATCGCTCGTACACGTAATTTGATTTTCAAAAGGGAAAGTTTTCTGCAACTATTTTTAGCACTTCAACTTCGTTTTAAATGGTATTCCTTGTATGTGTGTGTACATACATGCTGGGATGAATTTATTTACTTTTAATTTATTTTATTCCATCTTATTTTATTTTATTCAATTTAATTTTTTTACACACATACAGAATATCTAGGTATGTCTATCTATTAATAATTATTAATTGTTAATTAAAACCTATTTTAATAATAATAAAAAAATAAGCAAGAAAAAACGATATTTTTTAAGTGAAAACCGACAAATATATAAGTGCAGGTCAGGTTATTAAAATAAAAAGGACTCGATTTTAGGTGAACCTGCGAGAATATAAATTGCGGCGTTGCCAGATTTAACAAAAAAGAAAAAGGTTTAAAAAATAGAAATTAAAATAAAGAAGCCAAATAGAGAAATAAAAAAGCGAGTGGATAGACCAAGTACCTCTGTAGAGTAGATCTGGGTTTTGGTCTTACGCTACCACGAAAATCAACAGTTGAAAATGGACAGTGATGATTACTCTACAGAAGATTCGAAGACAAGAAAAATTGATGATTTTTTTTGGAAACAATAGGAGAAGCAACAGAACTCCTCCTAGAAATAAAAAAGATGAAAGGTTAGAAGAAATGCTAGCGTTAATGAAGGAAATGTCTGCAGATCAAAAAGAGCTTAAAGAGGAACTCAAACAACTTAAGGATCAACAATCAAAGTTTAATGGAGAACTCTTGAAATTAAAGGGAGATAACGAAGTATTGAAAAGGGAAAATCAAGAAATTAAAAGAGAGAATACAGAAATAAAAACTGAATTGCAAGAGGTGAGAAAAACAATAGAAATTATAGATAAGGAGAGAAGAAAGAATAATGTAGTGATGAATGGATTAAAATTTGATAACAATGAGCCGGCAGTACTGGTAGAAGATGTGAAGGCATTTTTGAACCAACAATTAAAAGTTAATATTACACCTAAATCAGTTACCAGGATAGCAGAGAGAACCTGGATAATAGAACTACAAAATGAAGTGAATAAGAGGAAAATCATGGAAAGTAAAACAAAACTAAAGGACATGAGAGGAGAAAGAGTTTTTATAAATGATGATATGACCAAGCAGGAAAGGGAAAAACAAAAAGAAATGAGAATATTTGCAAATCAGGAAAGGCAAAAAGGCAAAGAAGTAAAGATAGGATTCAATAAGGTAACGGTAAATGCAGAGGAGTGGAGATGGGATAAAGAAATAAATTAAAAAAAAGAGGAAAAACCTTATCAAAAAACTGAATAGCCAAACGAACAATACAAGGAATGGGGAAAACAACACAGCAATGGAATCGACTATGAATAAGGAAGTTAGTAATAGCAAGAAAACTGAGGAAATATGTAAAATGGGTACGTGGAATATTAGAAGTATGTTCGGGAAAGAAAAAGAACTAGAAGAAGAATTCGAAAATACAGACTTGAAACTGCTAGCCATAACAGAAACAAAGAAGAAGGGACAAGGAATGATAAATATGGATAATGGCCATATACTTGTGTACAATGGAATTAGGAAAGAAGAAAGAGCAGCAGCGGGTGTTGCATGCATAATTCACAAAGACATAAAAGAGAAAATGAGCAAATGGAAAGGTTGGTCGGAACGATTATTAGTGTTGGAACTTAAAGATAAGAATAAAAGCATAAGAACTATTATAGTTGTGTATCAACCCATTGAAGACGATTCAATAGGTAATAAAGATAAATTTTGGGAAGATTTAACCATGGCCACAAAAGAGGCAAAAGGAAAAATAATTTTATTCTATCGCGAATGGTAAACTATCATTCAATCGACTCAAAACTTGTTGTTAAAGTAACACTTTATTTGAAGTAGTGAAATCGAACAATTTTTACCCACTCATTTGTCAATTTTACCCACTCATACGTCAATTTCACCTACTCATACGTCAATTTTACCCACTTGTTCAAATCTTTTATAATAATTATATTGTTTTTGACAGAAATCTGTTATGTTGCATGATTGACAACACCAGAAATGTGTCAGTTTGTTAGGTACTTTGTCAACTTGTCATAATTTATGTAAAATTTTAGCACATTTTAGCTTATGATTTTAGTAATTGTGATAAAGAAAGTTGCTCAAGAATAAAATAGAATATTACACAATGGTAAAAAAGCTTTACCGTCTTGTATAATAAATAACTAATACTTGGAGATTTTAACAGCAGAGTGGGAATAAAAGATGGCACATATAATACAGGATTAGGAAAACATGGCGAAAAGGTTAGGAATAATAATGGAGAAAGACTGCTTGATTTTTGTGTGCTACATAACTTTATTGTAACTAATACATTTTTCGAACATAGATACCTACATAAATATACACGAGAGATGAAAAGCGGAAATGAGAAGTCGATAATAGATTATGTATTAGTAGAAAAGAATAATAGAAAGGAAGTATTGGATACCAAGGTTAGAAAAGGGCCGGAAATAGGTAGTGACCACTTTTTACTTGTCACAAAAATTAGAGAGCCAGTAGAGAATAAATACAAAACATGATTATCAAAGGATAGAAAAAAAAATAGAATATGAATGAGTGAAATCATACAAACTACAAAATAAAGAAATAGCAGAGAGATACAAGAAAACATTAACAGAAAGATTCTCTAATGATACATGCATAAATGAAAATACTAATGTAGAAGACATGTGGAAGTATTTTAAGAAAATTATGGAGACAGCAAAAGAAATATGTGGCACTAGTAA